ATTCAAAAGTTTTCTGATTAAGATTATGGATGCGTACTATCATAATCAAGCAACCATGCCTCACTTCTCGGGACATTACAGACAGCGGGGTAGTGGCTTTGGTGCTCTGGCTATGGGTATTGGACGAGTAGCACTTCCGTTAGCTCGAAAATTTATAGTACCAGCAGCAAAACGTATTGGAAAAGAATTACTTGTTCAAGCAGCACCCGAATTAATAGATATAGCAACCAGGAAGAAAACGCCGAGACAAGCCTTGAAAAACACAGTAAAAAACACAATCAAAAAACAAGTTGGAGCTGGACGCAGCAAGTCACGTATGAGCAGAAAACGGAGGAAGACAACAACAACATCAACAACAACAAGAAAAAGAAAAACTCTCATTCCTAAGAAACGAACTCCACTGAGAAGTCGCTCCAATTTTTTCACCAAGTACGAAATGATTTCTAATTTATTACCAACTGAAGCAACTCACAGCTCATTAGATTTATTTGAAAAACCTCCTCTACTCGTTACATTTGAAAATGCATTCACTCAAAAAATTGGTCCATCTTATTCACCTGATGGTCCCATGCTCGAATTTGAAGTTTTAGGAGATAGAAACAACTTTATTGATCTTCAACGAACTCGCTTGGAGATTGTTGCACGCATTGTTCAAAATAATGGTAATGTACTGCGAACTCACGCCACAGAGGCAGGGCAACGAGACGCACCATATTTGGTTAATAATCCACTTTCATCTTTATTTTCTGAATGCACCATGTCCCTGAATGGAGAAAAAATTTCAACAACTAATGCCAATTTTGCCCATAAGAGTTTCATTGAGACAGAATTTTCTCACGGTATTGATGCAAAGAAAACGTGGCTTGCTTGTCAAGGCTATTATTATGAAGATAATCCATCAGGTATTGATGGTGCTAATGGGCGAGCTGAAGATTTCGCTGAACGTAAGCGAATCGTAGCAGCATCAAGCGAATTCCGATTATTTGTAAAATTGCCTGTGATTTTTTATCATGCGACAAAATCTTATCAGCGGTGTTACAATAAGACTTTCTCTGAGACGATCTCCTAATGACTTTGTTATTATGTCTGAGCACGCTACTAAACATTACCAAGTCCAAATCACTGAGGCTAACCTATATGTGCGCAAAATGACAGTAACAGATTTTGTACTATCATCGATAGAAAAAACTCTGTTGAAAACACCTGCAATATACAATTATATTGAAGTTTCACCAAGAGAACCTTTTTGGCCACAACTGGTGTGCAAAGTTGGCGACAAGAAGACGTTTTTGCCAAAGAGCCAGTCCGTCGAATGATTTTGGCAATGAGCTCGAATACAGCATACCTGGGTACTAACCGAACAAACCCGTTTCATTATCAAAAGTTTCAGCTGAATGAAATCATTGTTTACCGAAACGGCCTACCCATTGCAGGAACTCCTGTGTCAACGACTGATAACAAAAGAATATACTATAACACATTGGAAGCTCTAGACTTTGTTTTTAACAATAGTCATGGAATCAGTTTGGCTAATTATCACAATCATTATATTATGGCATTTGATCTCACATCTACTCAGGAGGCTTCACACGACTTTATTCATCCTGAATTGACCAATTGCACCGTTTCAGTAGAACTGAAGTTTGATGCACCGCTGGGGGAAAATGAAGAGTTACTTTTCATGGGAGAGCGTGCATCAACAGTTTACGTGCGTTCCGATAGAAAAATAGCTAAAAACACTCTAATGAATTGAATCGAGGGAAAAATTGACAATTTGCAGATTATTGAGCTTATTAACAGATGCAAACATTTGAAACATCAATTTTGTGGCATTTTTCCCCGCTAACTTAGCATTTAATACAATATTGAAACGCGACAATACTTTCATGATAGTCAACGCATCAAACTCAGACCAGCCAGGAACTCATTGGTTACTGTTTGCTCAAGCTGGTGGTCAAATCTTTTTTGCAGATCCTCTTGGACGAAGCCTACACAACTATCCACATGTATACAAAAATATGAGACGTTCTATCCATGAGGGAAACCAAATACTGATGAATAAGCCAATCCAATCAGCTAACTCGGTCTTGTGTGGACTTTATTGTATTTATGTTGCTCATGTTATAATTTCTTCCAAATTTCCTATAGGTTTCAAGGTTAACGATCATGACATGATGCGTTTTGCTAAACATATGATGCTATAACTTTGTGATACTGTTGCATTTCTTTAATGATTTATAATTGATTTTTTAAAAAAACATGTTTTATGGTTGCTAGAACACATACCGCTGGAATTATCTCAGAAATATTTTTTTTCAAAAATTGTATTTCTTCTCCATTATAAATTTAACAAACAAATTATTTGAATCAATCTCTAATCGACCATACCCACTCAAAATAATATCAATGATTTTTGAAAATTCGGCAGCATTATCACCATTCAAAATTCGAATAAAACGTTCAATGGTTACATTAGTAATTAGATCAGTTTGAGTTTGAATGGATCGAGTCTGTGATGCAAAGCAAATCTGTGGCAATCGTTTTCGCAAAGAAACTCCGGCGGTGTCAAGGTTGTTAGTCGAATTGTAGTTAACAGCCAATTTCATTTTTTCCATCAGTGGTCCTGATAGATGATATTTGCTGCACCGCATAATCAAATATTTAAAGGATGAAAGGAGGCAAGGCACAAAAAAAGATTTTAAGATCATCTTGTTAACTGCTTCAGTGCATTCTTTTGTAACTTCGATAAGAACGTGGTAATGTGGCTGACCATTGGCAGGAGATTGGGAACAAAATTCGTCCTGATTTGAATGGACTGCAAATGCAAAGTTCGTATTAGAAGGAAGGTCAGAAACGTCGGGTTCATTGTTCAGAAAAAAAAATTTAAAGTTTTTCCGAAATTGTTTAAAGTATTCCGGCGATTGTTCATACATTGCTTCAACCATTCTGATAATTAATAAATGAAACTGGGTTTTTTTTTCCACTTACTCAAGCCACTCGACTTTTTTTGTTGGAATAATCTTCTTCATCATCCTCTCCGTTTTCACTATTACAGTCTTTTTCGGAGTAAACCGATCGTTTTGATTTATATCGTCGTTTTTGAGGTTTATCGTTTCCTGTTGTGGAAGTTGAAATCTTTTCACCAATTGGTGCTTTGATCATTTTTTTTACTTTTGAATAATTATCTGCTAAGCTATCAAATTCTTTCGTCGTCAAAGTAACTGCTTGATACATTTTGAACACTTCTTCGTCAGTTTTCTTATACAATTTTAGTGTAATATAGGTACCTGTTTTTTCAAATGTTTTTGTTCCAACTCTGACTATACGTTTTTCTCCTGAAGAAATATCACGAAAGTCATCAAAAAAGTTAGTATCACTTTCAAGCGTGTACATAGTTGGGTAGCGGTAATTTTATTCAACCGTATCAGTCAAGAGACAATTTAAGAATGATTTACCTAGCCGGTGAATAGCTTAACTCGGGCGATTTCTTTTACGGTATAGCTTACGCTTCATTGGGGACTTTTAATTAGTTTGCAGTTGGAAATTTATGAGTTTAAGTTATACATGTCAAATCTGTCTGGCAAATTCCCGTTTTAGCTCATAAATCTCAACGGTTTTACCCTGGCGGCATGCCTTTGAAGTGTAAAACTTTGTTATCTCTTTGAAGTGTAAAACTTCTGTCATTTTGTGCTTAGGGTATCATAAAAAGGTGCCATGCTGTTTCTTTGAAGTGTAGATTTTCAAAGCGTTCACATTTCTACTTTAATTGCAAAAGCCCTAAAAACATATTAAATTTTACTAAACCTGATCTATGGTAATTGGCTAAAACTAGACCACCAGCAATAAAAAACTAAAAGTGGTACGTCAAGCTAAATCAACTCACTATTTTTATTCAATCTCTCAAAATCAAACAAAACAAAATTTTCAACGATGGCAACTCCACTGCAAATTATTTCAATTAATTCTCTTGAAAGAGCTATTTTGTACCAAACTTATACCAGAGATTCTATCGTAGTGGTTCAACAGGAACGGAAAATGCGTCATCGAAACGCGAGTCCTTTGAACGATCTTGATCCAGGAAGCCGAGAATTCGATGAATGGGTCACTAAAAACCATATGATGTTACCCCATTATTTGCTAGATCAAATTGGTATCCTCATACAAAGCAGAAAACAGGTCTACGAGAGTTGTTGTGTGACTGAATCGTATCCTGCGCTGAAGCGCACAGATATTCAAGACCCTACTTGCCTTGATAGTTCACCGAGAAAAATACTGTTTAACTAAGATTGCCAATCGATCCCCTTTTACGAAAATCAGGAAGGATCCATTAGAGATTTAGCAGAGCGAGAAAGTTACTGGAACATTGAGTCGATTGAATCACCAGATTCAACAGAGAAAAAAGATGAGGA